GTGGTAGAAGAGATGAGCTACAAAGCAAGTGACTCTGACATGGGAGAAGAAGACTCTTGACTCTGGCCCCACTTCTGCCATTTGATAACTGTGTGACCATACCAAGGCCTCTTTCCTCTGTGGCCTCATTGGTCATATGTGGGAGTGAAAGCTGAAACTGGATGGGAGATCCCAAGCCATAAACAGGACCTGCCCAGCAAGGTGGCAGCCAGCACAAGGGGAGTGGAGAGGCCTCAGCCCTGGGGGGCAGCACTTGTTGTCTGCATTCCTTCCTCACTCCCCCACACAGATTTCCAGCCACTTCCACAGCCCCTGAGAGAGGGTGAGGTTTTGGAGAAATAAAAAATGAGCCTCTTCAGGACAGGGTGTGGATCCTGAGGCTTTGTAGTCCTGTCTTTCACCTCCTCACAGTCCTCTGGCTCCTCCTCCACTGTTAAAACCTCCAGCTTACCCATTTCCTAAAGATCATCACAGAGCTCCACAACCTTCCCTTTTTAAAAACTCTTGCTGATGGAAAATTCTTCCTCATACCTAATCTAAGTCCATCTGCTGCAATTTCTGTCTATTTTCTCTCGTTCAATCCTTACTGGAGATGGAGAACAGCTGGTCGCCATCCTCCATATAACATCCCCTCCTAAACCGAAATCAGTTATGACATCACCTTCAGCCTGCTTTTCTTCTGGCATCACATCCACCATTCGTCTGACCAGCCCTCATGGATTCTGTCTCCCAAGCATCACTGGCCACCGTGGCTTGACCTGGAGGATGCTCTGCAGCTCCACGTCCCTCTGGATCTGTGGCATCCACAACAGGATGGAGGACTCTGTGGCCAGATCCAGAGAGAAGGTCAGAGCAAGAGGGGACCTAAGAGAACACAGTCTAGGCCTTCTGCTTTACACAGGAGGAAGCTGAAAGTTAGAAAGGGCAAGTAAGCAGTGCTCGAGGTCAAATCCAAGGGGTCAGGCTCCAGCCATCAGCCCCTCAGTACTGCCACAATACCTGAGCAGCCTCAGCCTATCCTCAATGGGGGTAGAGCAGAACCAGCCTGAACTGAAAAGCAAAAGGCCAGTTTCCTAGAACCTTCCTGACACAAATTCTATCTTTCTGTGTCCACTAGCAGATGCCTGAATTTCTACTCTGCACATCTTTGATTTCCGTTAAAAACTCAAATACTAGGCTGGAGAGTGTAGCTGTGTGGTAAACTGCTTGTCTAGTCTGGATTCCATCCCTAACACCATAAAAAGAAAGAAAGAAAGAAAGTAAAAGAAAAAAAACTTCAAATACCTCTGTAAGTGGCAATAGTGTTGTCAATATTAACATTGGTACCTTAATACAAGTAAGTAGATTTGATATTTGATCTTTTCCAACTATTGATAGATTCAGGGTGAGAAGAGAACAAAGAACAAAGAAGCTGGAATGACAGACAAATTGCACTATCTGCTAGTGTTTACAAGGTCAGTACTGGCTGCAGGGGAGACTTTAGTCTGGGAGCTCAGGCTGGTGGGTATCCCTGGACATAGAAAATGCCCATGCTCAAACGCATCAACTGGTGGCCCCACCATGTCAGCTGCACCCCGGGTGCTCCTTCCAGGTCTGCAGCAGAACTGAATTTGGTGAGAGGATTACCTCACTGCTCCCACTGGGCAGGATCCCTTGAATGTGAGTATTCCAGCATTCCTAAGGTATCCTGCCTACCTCTTCCCAACAGGAGGTGAGCAGGGCATGTAAAAGTCAGCCAGGATGTCCTGAAATGACAGGAAGAACTAGAAGGGAAAGAAAAAGAGATGGATGCCTGCCTATCAGATTCAGTAATAATTGAGTATTATTCAATTACCTGCTTCAAGGTGAAATGCTCCCCAGAGGGAGAAAGGAGGAGCCTGTGAATGTAAGGAAGAGTGAGTCATATCAACTATTTACTCATGATTTTGCCTATGAAATTTTCCTAAATGAAGAATGGAGGAGGACAAGAATAGAGTGTGGTTAATATATATCCAGAACCTGGGTTTCAACACAGCCCTCTCCCACTCTGAATATCAGGGGCACATTGTGCTCCAACCCCGTCAACTTTTGGGGATGTCCCTGACTGCTTCAACCTCCAGACGCCCCACCCCTCCAGGACAACTGGTAAATCCACACACCTAGGAGAGGAAGAGAAGACACTGTGATAGCGTCTACCAAAACTCCTAACCCAATAAACGTACGTATTTGATTTCCCCAAAGCTACAAAATTAAATTTAAAAATAGAAGACAAAAGGCAACTCTGACAAAAATTTTAATATATTCTCAATGCCATTTCAGGGGCCAGTTTTCTCTAACAGTGAAATCGCCACAAAATAACAAGATCAAAGCAGGCTGGCACAGAGATTACTTATTGATATGTTTATGATGAAAAGGGATGACAGGGAGGGCGGCAGGGAAGAGGGCCAGGAAAGCAAGTGTGGGACTTGTACTTGCCCTGTAAATCACACTGGGCTGGGAGGAACAGAAAGATGCAATCCTCCAAGCTACAGTGGTAAATGCCAGAAACCTGGGCTGGCCAGTGGGGAAAAGGAGAACACACTAGACCTCTGGGTGGTGCTAATCCAGGGTCCTAGCTAAAGCTATCATGTCTGGTGAAATGACAAGTAACAAATTCAATTTCCTAAGCATCAGCCAGTCCCTGTGTATACACGCAGGCACTGAGCTTCACAACGAGTTCATCAACCTAACACCAGTGAATAGTGCTCCATGCTGGATCATAAGCAGTGGAGCTGCGTTTCACACCCTACTCCATCCAAGGTGAAGTTGCAATGATGGTGTTTTGCATTTTGTCAGTTATGCTTCAGTTCCTATATTCCCCTTCCTTTTTTTAGCTTACGTTGTTATTTTAATGATCTCTGTTCCAAATGAGGAAATATAAGGAAGAAGAATGAGGAGGAGGCAGAGGGAGAAAAGCAAGCACTCCAGTGTGTCCCACTTGTACTTTTCAAAGCTTGCTGGGCTCCCTCCCCCACCAGCCTTTTCCCTCTGTGTGTGAGTCACCATTTAGAAGCTGCTTTAAATGACTACTTTTAATGTTCTCTATCCCAACAGAAATCCAGGAGATCAGCATCAAATGAAGGGTCCCCCAGTTCTCCTTCCAGCTCCTGGTCCTAGACACCCCTCAAATTCAAAAGCACTTTCTAATGTATTGCTGTCTTCATGAAAACCAAGGTGCCTGCTCTCAAGATACAGGCTGGGTACTGCCCTTCTGGGGTCTTCCCAGGGGCCATACACACTAGAAAGACCACTGAGGACAAGGTCCTGCACCAAATCTGCCCAACAGCCAAGAAAAGTTCAGTTTCTACTCCCAGCCCCAAACACAGAGAGACCATAATGTGCAGGGCTGCAAGTTTGCTTTGCTGACTGTCAGGACAGCATGTGCAGAAGAGAAGGCTGACTGTATCCTGACCACCACCAACAACAAAAGGTCAGGCACCTGTTTTTATTAACCACTGTGAGTAGAGCTTCCATAATAACAGTTCCCACCCAAAATAGCTGCCTAAAGAAGGTGGAGGAGAACCTGTTGTGTGTGGTGGTAAAAAGAATAAGAATTAAAAAGTGAAGGTGGTGCCAGGGAATCCAGACTGCCATCTACACTTCAGCAGGAAGGGTGTCACAGGGGAGAGGTGTTGCAGAAAAGTCCCTCCAGGAACATTCACTCTAGCCAGGACTCCCCAGCTTCAGGGAAGGGAGGAAATCCACCTGAACTTCCTGACCCCAAAGCTTCCAGGACTTGTGACACCAGCCAGGGACTGGAAGCTTCAGTCTGTCTAGTAGGTACAGCCAACCACACACCTGGTCAAGTGCTGTGTGGCATGAAAACAGAAGCTGCTTACATGAAAGCAGGAAGGAAATCCAAGGCCAAGTGCGCTACTTTCTCCCCCATGGAGACAATGCTTCCTAACTAACACTGCCTGTGGCAGAAACTGGAGAAAAGGAGTTTCCCCAGGTACCCAGACTGGGTGTCATATCATCTAAAGCCCTTTTGGTCCCACAGTGGAGAATGCTCTAAGATGCCGCTGTGCTGAACCAGCTGCCTGCCATGATGAGCTTTTCTACTCAAAGAGCAGTCAACAGAAGCACTGTGGATGGTGACTTCAGCTCCATCTTTCTGCCACAAATGCACCTGCATACCTAAGTTACCTGAGCACCTAGACAGAGCCAGCTCCCAGCAGCTGGCCCATCCCAATGCCAGCCTCCACCTTCCAGGGTTCCACAAGACTCCAGCACAGGTGTAAGCCATGCACAGGATGAGATCTTGCTCTATTCCCATTTTTTCAGGACACACCAACCCTGGAAAATCTCAAAGAGTTTGGGGAAGCTAACCAATGAAGTGGTTTCTTTTCCTCTGAAGGGTTTCATAGATTTCTCCAAAAGTTGTATGGCACCCAACGCTCACCAGGTCACACAGGACAGGCCACATTACCCCAATACATTTTTTCTTCCACCAAACAAAATGAAGAAAGACACAGTGGGCAATAGGTAGGAGGGAGACAGAGACAGAAGTTTGAGGAAGGACTCGAGTTGAAGGTCACAGTAGTTTGAGGAAGATAGGTCAAGATAATATAGATGGGGCAGACCCTGTGGTGGAAAACCTGACCAATCAATCACCTTTCTCACAACAAGCTTCCCAGTGATGGGTCACCTAATCATCTTGGGGTCTGGGGGCATCCTGGGGTCCACCTTCCTTCTCCCAGCAAACCTGAGCCTACACCCCAACCCTGAGGAAGATCAGGGGGATTCTGACAGACCTGAGCACAGCTAATTAAGAGTAGTAAACAAGCCCAGTTATTGGCAAGCGCAGAAGTTTTCCAAATTGTTGGCTTGTTTTCCTCCCAACAAAAGGCTGTGAATTCCCACCTTTGTCACATTCCCTCCCCTAAACTTTTCTTTCTGCAATCCTCCACCTCTGCTAACCTGCCAGCCTCTGAGAAGGGACCAGCTCAAGCAGCACCCCCGGGGGATGTAGGCAGTGGTACCTTTTCCGAGGAGCAGAGGGGCTGTGGTCCAGAGGCTGGATGCCCTGCTGGAAGGTGGGTAGATGCTGTCCTGCTGTCCGGATGGAGCACGCTGAGAATTACGCGTTCCTGTCTCTGCGACCAGACCTTTCAGCAGCTCTGACCAACTGTGCTAGGGATGCACTTAGCAATTATCTGCTGCCGCCGACGCCCCGCCCTCTACTCCTGCGATTGGCTCTCAGGTCCCGGGCTGGACTGCATTGGTCTCTGCCTACCTCACTCATTGCTTTGGCTCCTACTATTATCTAAGCCATCAAAGGAAATAATTCCATGTTTCATTGACAACCTGTAAGGCTCTTCTCCGGCCCTGTGTGGGGGCAGAACTGGGAGTCCAGCAGAGGGAGGAAAGGGGAGGAGAATAGGAAGGGAGGGAGAGAGAGAGAGGGAGAGGGGAGAGAGGGAGCGCGAGAGAGCTATCAAGCAATCAGATTCTTTCTCCAGCATTTTAACTTCCACAAAACAGAGCCCATAGCAACAATTTTCTGGCCTTACTGGTAAATGTTCTTGAGGGCAGACAGAATTATAACCGCGGGGTTTCTGCGGATGTCAGACAGGCTCTGGGAAGCAGAGCAAGGTTGTGGGCTGAAGGAATAGTGATGTTTTTACATCCTGGAGGGCATGTGAAGGTCACTTTAAATTATTTGGGGAACGTGTTATGCACCTTTACTGGATTTTATCTATCTGTTCTTTCCTGCGTGGTCCAGTTGGATAATTTCCCTTTGCACCATATCTGGAGAGTCTCAGAAGAGCTAATCTTAAAGTCCATAAAAGTCTAGAATTCCTCACTGGCCTCACAGGGAGGGCTAACAGGATAGGTGTTTTAAGTGGAATCATAAGTGCAGAGGGATATTCAACTTGCGCTTATTCTGTCTTGGCTTCAGTTAATTCCTTAGACTCATATTAATAGCCAAAACAAGGGAAGAGCAGACAACCAGCCCCTGGAACCTGGGAAATGCTTCCCTTTTCCTTGTCTATCAGGGAATCTTAGCACAAGTTTTAACTTTTCCCACCAGGTTAATATACTTGTTTACCACACAGAAAGCACATTACTGGGGAGCAGGATTTGTTAAAAAAAAAAACAAAAACCAAAAAAACCCCCAAAAAACACAAATAATAATAGCTTTAAAAGATCTTTAAAAGGCTATGAGTACAGTTCAGTGCTAGAGCACCTGCCTACCGTGCACCATGCCTTGAGTTCCATCCCCAGGACTAGAAAAAGAAAAAAAGACAGAGAAAAAAAAGAAAAGAAAATCAATTGTCGGAGTAGTCAAAAATTAGCTCTCCAAGCTGCCCATCCTGGGACTCCAGTCTTTGGCAAGGCTGCAGTTCCACTCTTGCCCTGCTCCTGCCCAGGGCATGAACAACTGCAGTTCCTGCTCTCTGCATGCCTGGTAGCAAGTGGCATGTCCCCACCACCTTGTACAGTGAGCTTCTATTCTCCTGAGTACATGCCTGGCTTCCCTAAATACACTCTGAGCTCTGTAAAGACAGAGATGGGATCGGGTATATCTTTATCACTCCACAGACAGCACCTAGCACTCAATAAGTGGTAGGACCAATAAAACCAAATTCAGAGCTTAACGTGTACACAGTTCTGAGCCTCATGGAATAATCACCCACTGTGATTGCTCACCCAGCTGGGCAGAGTGGGGTGGAGGGCCACTCTGGAGTCCAGGACCAAAAATTTCAGAACTAGACACTGAAATCCTGCCACTACAGAAGCCATACCAGGCTCCCAGAAACTCTGTTTTGTCTCTGGAAAATGAGGCAGCCCTTCATTCAATGACCTCCTTCTCCCTCAAGCATTTGAAGTAAATGAAAAGATGTGGGATGCACATTTTTCTCATGGGGCATCCCCTAAAAAAATTCAGCTATTTCCATAATGGCTTTCCAAATACTAATATGGCTAAAAGGACAGTGACCATATACTAGGAATCAAAAACTAAGACAAAGCCTAGAGCAACGCATTTTTTTTCTATCTCATTTGTCTAGGTGAAATTCTTACAAAAGAGCAATGGTGAAACTAACCTCAGCTATGCATTTAAAACTGACACTGTCCCAGAAAACCTAGTATGTTCAGTACAGGTGTAAAAAACATAAATAGCACTTTTATAATTTAAGCAGTATGACTTCCACTTTCAAGGGAATTTTGTGCCTTTATATTATCCCCCTTCCTGACAAATAAAAATTAAGAGAAATAAACCAAATTATAAGAACTCTTCTTGAGCATTTATCCAAAAGTTCAGTTGCCAGCAAAGGAAAAAGAAAACATCACAAGTAATTTTCTAAAAGGCTTTGTTTAAAAGAGCATATTCTTCCTTACATGTAGATTTTGGGTTTTGAAGATGAGAGGCAGAGAAAAAAAGGATGAGAGGGGGCGGGGGGAAAGATGGAAACAATTGTTTATGTCAGTGCCTTTTAAACTGCTTGGTCATAAAATATTCTCTTTGAGAAAAGGATGATCCCTTTGTATCCTATAGATCAACTGCTTAATTCTGAAAGTTAGAGAATGCATATTAAGTATGAAGATTCCACTGGTACTTGCATTTATATTAAATATCAGCTCCATACAATTTAAATTCACTGGGGTATGAAATGTACCAAATTCCATTTGTGGACAGTGCTCTTGCAAAATAGCCCATTTTGATTGAACAGTTTCAATGCATTAGTGGTCTGAAAAGTTTTTGGGGTTCTTGTTCCATTTTGAGTTGTGTAATTAAGGAAAGAATGGGTTTACTTATTAAAACAAAACTTAAATAGCAGCTGCCAAAACCACTATTTTTCTTGAGGGTAACCACACCCTACAGCACATTACCATGACCTACTGTGGAAGGCTGGAGCAATCTTGTATTTACCCGTCTGTTTACACCATTTTCTCAGTTATCATTTATTTATGCCAAATTTTGTTCCTAAAAGGGAGAAGAGGAGAATAAATCTATGCAATGCCAAGAAAGAAAGAAATGTGAGAAAACAGGAGAGAAAAATAAGGATGACTTTCAACACTACATGGTTGCTAATTGACTTTAGCCACCCAGTGATGGGTACTTTTGTGAAACGATGGTTATTAGCAGGATCTCTGTTAAAAAATCACATTAGCTTTGGATAAAAAGAAGGTTTTCAGAAAAATTCACCTTCAGCTTCCTAAGAAGAGAAACTTGGAGAAACATACTCACGGCTTTCCATTCAAGCTGATGGCTGTTGGAAAACTTTATGTAATTAAACTCCTTCCCCAAGCCACTCCTCAAATCAAACCTGTAGAGTCAGAGACATTTCAACAGAGTACAAGAGGAGACTCTGGCTGCCAGGGCGGTGTCAGTCACCAGGAACCTTCTTAAAGATTTCATTAATTACTAATGAGTCTTTAGAAAGTTGCTGCTATCTAGACAGGGATTTGTGGGGTTTCAAGACACAAAGGGATATTTTCTTACTTAAGATACTCTGCTAAAGAAAAGCAGGTGCTTCTGCTCCCTCACTGTATTTACTAGTGAGGCAGCATTGTAAATAACCTGAAAAGGAGAAAGACAGAGACAGACAGACAGAGAGAGATTTGCAAGACTAAGCCACCCATCTAAATTTTGTTTTGGTTTGATTAAATTCTTCACAAGGAATATAGAGCTGAACACTGTCACGAAATATTGTCCAGCAATGTACCAATTGATAGGAGCTGGAGAATCGAATTAAGGAGGTCAGTATGTCTTCTATGAGGCTGGCCGATCCCTTGTGCCCTGAAGCAACCTTCCAAGAGGAAGGTCTACACCAGCACTGTTCTTGGAACTCCTGCCAGCAGCCAGGACCTAACACAGAGAATTTCTTGAAAGAATCCATCGAATACACTTACAATACCTGCCACGTATCATCTCTTTTATAAAACAGGGTGCCAATACTGTTTTAGGGGCATTGAGAGAATGATGGCAAACCAACATTCAAAGGACCACACAAATGTCCTACCACTAGATATTAACCCTTATAATGAAGAAAGGCAATGTTGCCTTGGCATGAGTCAATATAAATGTGGTAATTAATCACCAGGCTCTACTCAACCATATTAGTTCCCAGCATGGGACCTGAAGGTATTCAGAGAAACATAAAGATGCTCCAGGTAAGGGATCAGAGCTGCAAGGAACGATATTTCCCTTCCTATTGCCTAAGGAACAGGCAAACTGTCCCACTGATGCACACGATGCTGTAGGAGGGTGTGCAGATGCCATCCAAGTGCTCTGCCATGGCCAAAATTTCTTCAAGTGTTCATATTGGACCAGGCGGGTCATGTAAATTTTGCATTCTCCTCCAAAATACATCCATATTTGTTTATTACATGAATTACTTGTATGACACTGACTTTCCAGAAAGATGCTCCATATATATGGAGCCTGAAGTGTGTGAAGCACAAGAATGATGTCTCTAATCTCTCTTCTCCCTGGCTTCCAGACACAGCTAAAATCTACCCCATTCCAGCTGTCCAAATTATTCCAATCTCATCTTCAAGTGCTCAGGTTCATCACAGCCCACCATAGTATGTATGTTCAGATCTCCTCACCTTCCCTGGCTTCGCAGTTTCCCTCCCACCCCGCCTTCCCTTGGTGAGACTGCAGCTATCCTTAAAGGCTCAGCCACGTCTCTGCTCTCTCTCAGATCCTGTCCACCAGGCCATTTCAATTTTACACTGCACCACAGGTGTTAAAATCAATTGCATTCTTGTTTTTTTGGTTTTTTTTTTTAATATTAAATTCTTTTATTGGTACATTGTAGGTATACAACACAATTACATTTTTCATTGGGAATTGTACCTTTACGTAATGCATCTTGGTTCTTATTTTTTCCCCATTCCTA